GAGGGAAAAATTCCAGGCAAAAGAACCAAAGGAATACTTACTCCTTCCTGCTACTTCTGAGCAATGAACAACTGGACAATTACCATCTATTAAAGACTAGCCTAGCTGCAGATCTCAGGCTTCAACTCTAGTTTTCCCAGGATATGGAGTCAAGTGTTTCCTCCAAGCCTGAATTCTTTTGTTTCTCTGGTCAGAAATTCACTGCATCTTGCTAAATTAAGTACAGGGCTTGAAAGGGGGAAAAAAACAAAAGCACATCAGTTTCACCAAGAAAGAGAAATCATGAACCAGCAAAATAACTGTGACTTTGGGCCCCAAGTACTACCACAAACCCAGTGTTATTCTCAGATCTGCTTTACCCCACTCAAGGGCACAAAAAACCCACCTTTATATACATAAATTGGAAAGGTAAAAAAGGCATTTGAAAAACCTCATAGAAATCTAATATCTTATGTTTTTTTTTTTTTTTTTTTTTTGAGACAGAGTCTCACTGTGTTGCCCGGGCTAGAGTGCTGTGGCATCAGCCTCGCTCACAGCAACCTCAGACTCCTGGGCTCAAGCGATCCTTCTGCCTCAGCCTCCCGAGTAGCTGGGACTACAGGCATGCGCCACCATGCCCGGCCAATTTTTTCTATATATTTTTTAGTCGTCCAATTAATCTCTTTCTAATTTTAGTAGAGAGGGGGTCTCGCTCTTGCTCAGGCTGGTTTCGAACTCCTGAGCTCAAACAATCCGCCCACCTCGGCCTCCCAGAGAGCTAGGATTATAGGCGTGAGCCACTGCGCCCAGCCCTTATGTTTTCTTTTACTTAATTTTTTGGCTAGGCCAAAAAAGTAATCCTAGAATGCCCCATCTATAGTATTGGTTTGTGAACCTCTCAGGTGTTTCTTAAGAACATAACTATGCACATCTATATGCCTTTTAAAAATTGATAGGATAAAGGGATTCAATTACTTGGGATTTCCAGTTTGTTTAAACTACAGTATTACCTGCTATTTTGCCTCCTATGCTCTTCCTCTCCACTGCAGTAAAAATTCAGTTTAACATGCAACTCAAAAATCCTAGATATAAAGAATGTTTACATTTACTGTTGAACATGTAAATTACCATTTATACTAATTGCTTCATAGTATAATACAAATAATACAATTCAGCAGTATTTATTGAACCCTGTCAAGATTTTAACAAATACAAAACCTTGTTGGTTTTAATAGATTTTCTTCCTTTTATATTTCATTCAATACCCAAGTTAAGGCAAAAGCCAAATAGAGATATAAGTGTATTTTTTGGCTGAATTTACAACTAGTATTTTTCACTTTATAAAAGGTGTAATTATAAAACTACAGTCTATAGACACAAGTCAAAACTATTAGATCATTAAATATGAAGTGTCCAATTTCAAATAAAAAGTTTAGTTTATATCTGAAAAAACAGTACAATTAATCAAAGAATGTGCCTGAACTATCGGCACAGTTTTGCTATCTTGATTTTTATTTATTTATTTTTTTTAAGAAGAGATGGGGTCTTGCTCTTGCTCAAGCTGCTCTTGACTCTGAGCTCAAGCAATCCTTCCACTTCGGCCTCCCAGAGTGTTAGGATTCCAGGCATGAGCCACTGCGCCTGCCCAGTTTTCCCATCTTAAGAGTAGCTTGTTTATGCCAGCACTGAAGAAGCCTAGAGAGCGAGTGACAGAGGATGAAATCTTGAAAGGAGTTTTTCACAGCTTGTTGAGAACTGAATATTTTTCCTTGCAAGAAGTGGTCCAAAGCCTGGAAAAAGTGGTAGTCAGTCAGTACAAGGTCTGGTGAATACAGTGGATGACAGAGTTTCCAAGTCCAGCCTCTGTAGTTTGAGCAGTGTTGTTTGTGCAACATGTGGTCGAGCATTGTCTTGCAAAAGGATTTGACCTGTCTACATTGACCAATCTCAGCTGCTTAATCGCAAGCATCCTCATTTCATCCAGTTGGTTGCAGCAGACATCTGCTGTAATCAATTGACCAGGTTTCATGAAGCTGCAGCGGATAACATCAGTGCTGGACCACCAAATAGACACCATTAGCACTTTTTGATGAATATTCAGTTTTGGACGGCCTTTCGGCGCTTCATCTTTATCCAACCATTGTGCCATACATTTGCGATTGTCAAAAAGAATCCATTTTTCATCACACAACAATATATGGTGTAGAAATGGTTTGCCTTGATGTCGTGACAGCAAAGAAAGGCAAGCTTCGAGACAATTTCTCTTCTGACGCTTGTTTAGTTCATGCGGAACCCATCTATCCAGCTTCTTTACCTTGCTGATTTGTTTCAAATGGTCCAATGTTGTTGGAATAGCAATGTCAAACCTTGCTAATTCAGGTGTAGGTTAAGATGGATTTGCATCCACAACAGCTTTCAGCTCAGTTTTCCACCTTGGTCTCTGGTCCCCCACATGGCTCATTTTCAAGATTAAAATGACCAGAACGGTACTTCTCAAACCATAGATGTACTGTGCACTCATTAGCCACATCCTTCCCAAACATTTCGTTGATGTTTTGAGCCATCTGTGCAGCACTGGTTCCATGATGGAACTCATACTCAAAAATAACATGAATTCTGGGCTTATCCATGATTTTACAAAACTTACTCTAAAAAAAACTTTAAAGATAATCAGAAGCCAAACCACACGTTTGAAAGAATGAGGATGTACCTTCACAATAAAACAGGAAGTGTCAAAGTGAAAAATCAGAGATGTCAACTGTCAAATTCAGCACTTAAGGAAATCGGACATTTCATATTTAATGATCTAATACAAATTCCCTTTATGTTACCTGATGATGGTTTCCCTTGCTATTTTCAAGGCAGACACACTCAGCATTAAAAATACATCATACTGGAAACACACACACCCCTTTCATTGTGAAAAATAAAAAGGATTTTTAAAAATGTGTTGCTATATTAATTAACATGCATTTCATTTTGGTTTTATGCCTAGTCTTCATAATTAGGCTAATAAAATTGCCACTAAAGGTAATTTTTCTTCATTTCAAAAGTAAAAATGTAAAACGCTTTTACATTTAACCCCAAACATGGTTGTAGCCAGAGATGCACATCAGAATCACCTGTGGTGTTTGTCAGACAAACACCTTGGTAAGACTCAGACCCAAGAATTCCTCTTTAATTTTAAACAAACATTAGGGGTGATTTTTATTAGAACCTTTACCCGCTTCCCATTAAGAAACGCCCTGGTATAAAAATTAATTTAAACCTTTACTAGAATTTACCTAATGTATCTTACGACTTTGGTAATTTGATAAAATTTCAGTAATGTAATTTTGGGCTTCTAACCATAAGCAATGGGTGGTGTTATCCATTGTAATGTGTATCGCTATTCTTCCAAGCTAAGGAAAACAGATCAGGTAATCACTATTGCCACTCTGCACAGTAATAGCAGACACTTCTGTAGTGCTTACCATATGCCAGATATTCTATTAAGCTCTTTACACATATTAACTCAATCTTTAAAACCGAATAAAACAGGTATTTTCATTCTACAGCTGAGAAATATACGTGGCAGAGTTAATACACATAGGTAATAAATGGGGAGCCAGGATTCAAACAGCGGTCTAGTCCTAGAGTTCTTACTCTTCCAGTATGTTCTATAGCCTCTCTGTACATAAGTCAAACAGCATTTGTTACCTGTCATTACTATTAAAATTACAAAATTTTGGTTACCAATTTTTGAGGTGTTAGGATTGTTCTTTCCTTGAAATGGTCAACAAAATCAAATATCAAGCTTTGAGAAGTTACATGTAATCATTCCTACTTAGGAGCCATAAATCAATATTTAATATTTCAGTCTGTCAGTTTCAGAACTTCAAGTCTCTTTTCTTGACAGAGAAAGAAAATTCTACACTAAATTTTATAACAAAGCTTCATGAGGCCAAGGTGCGTATTTGGTTTAAGAAGATAAGAGTTTAACTATCTTCATTTGTACAATACTGTTGGTGGTATGCTTCTCACTAACCATCTTCCCAAATTCAGTGTCACATTGTGTGACAGGTACTCTATCTCCCTGAGTCCTAACTTTTACTTTAGTCCAGAAACACCATCATTCTGACACCAGGAATTTCCAAAGGGCCACATCTAGGTCTTTTGACACAAAGCTTTCTTTCTGATTTTCTTACCTACCCGTGTACGCCTCCTGTTTTCAAAACAAAGGTTTTTTATGATAGGGTTACTTTTGTTTCCTTTTCTCTCTCTCCCTACTCAAAGCCCCCTGGGGAAATAAACATGCAGAAAAGGCAAATCATAGGGCCAAAGGAGAGACAAGTCTGTTAACAGTCCTGCCTACACAAACACCAGGTGAACTTATTCCAACAAACAAAACAAAGTAATCTCAACAAAAGCCATTTTCTAAGGTCATGCAATTACACCAAATTTCTTTCCAGTGTTTTTTTAATTCAAAGGATTCTCTTGCAATCTTTCATGGCTACTCTTACTAGTACACTCTTGTTTGTTACAATGGTAACAAAATGAATATTAACATTTAGAATTTTTCAGGCTTTTCATAGCCCTTTTTCTCCTGCAACTTGTGCCTTTCTTTCTGTCCTTCATATTCTACCCTATGACCATAGGTTATAGGAAAAAAAACAGTGACCTCCTGGATTGAAAGGGGACTGAATATAGAAGGGAGAGATGAAGAATTCTACTATTCATCACTATCCTCCTAAGTTTCAATTCATCAAAAAATTAAAATTCATGAAATAAAAACTCATTTTCCCCTTCCACCAAAAATTTACAAATACCCCTATACATAGCACAAGCCCTTAAAGTAAGACTGGCTTGTACTTTAGGATCCAACTTTTTATCTAATGGAAGGAATACTTAAGGATTTACTGAAATCTTTATCACATACTGAATATTCTCTTCCACGGCAATGCTGTGTGCAAGTACTTCACAGGCTTAATCACTACACCAACGCTGGCAGCTAAAGACATCATCCTTTTGTTAACACACCCTGGAGATTTTAAAAACACTTTATTTAATAAAAGTTAAACATACAAAACTGAAATTAACATACATCCTAAAAATCTTCTTCCATTAATAGGAAGACCCTTTTCTATGCATGTATTTGGCTTAAACTCAACTGACAGTAACTGTGATGTTCACTTACACCAACAAATGCTGACTTGATCTAGTTAAAAATTATAAACTCAGCTACATGAACATAATATACAGGAAAATTATGGTCAGATTAATGCACAAGAAATACAAGAAATTTTAATGATGAAACATTCAGTACTCTTGTTCATTAATTTAGCCTTGTTTTTTGTTTTTTTTTTTACAAAAATAGTATCTACACTGTATACAGGGCTATACATCAGCTTTTTGTCTTCCCATATAAACATTACACATCCAAAACATGGTACCACAACTAAGTGAAAAATCAACACAGGAAAAAAGCAAACATACAGAAAACAAAAATACCTTAGAAAAGGTAGTTCATCCTAAACATGGTTTCTTACATAAAACTAAAACTTGAATAAAAATAAAAGTTGGATCAACTTTAGTGATGGCATAATAGGCCTAGGAAACAAAGTATTGAAGGAAAAACCTCAAAACAAACTTTGCCATTTACAAATTAACCTATATTTAGGCTGAACTGGACAAAAGCTAGGTTTTAAAGTTGAAGATTAAAAAAACGGTAAAGATCTCTTTAGCGGGTTGTTGTTTTGCCTTGATGTTTCAATGAATTGCTAGAATATGAATCAAGTTCAAAGCATCTGAAAATTCCAAGTTATGACTTACAAAAAAGTATATACCATAGATTAAGTGGGGGCCTGATAATAGGAAGATCAACAATTCATCCAAGTGCTGTACTAAGCAGCATCTAGAAAAGTCGCTTTATTCAACAAAGTTTGAGGGAACTGTGGTAGTAGTAATGAAAAAAGTTAAATGAATAGCAGTTATCAAATTCAATTTCTTCAAGTTTCATTCTATTGAAGTCAAACAGTGACAACAATGGTATCTTCCTTACTCATCTAACAAATAATTTACCTTTAGAAAAATATAAGGATAAAAAGGTAAATGTAAAGCCCTGCAGAGATGAAATCCAACAGTTTTTCTGATTATTGAGGCATCAAATGCCTAACATTGTATTTAGAAGTATCTTGATATTGCGTCATAGGTTTATCAGCAATTCCACAAGTTCCTACTCCAACTTTGCCCGTTACACTCTCAGGTGAAGCAAAAATACTCCTCTTTACCTACGGGAAAGAAAACAGAAACCATTCCTGATTAGTTCTGGAAAAAGTCAAAAGTTTCAAATTTTATGTTAAAGTATGTTCTGGTTTCAATATTTTACAAAAGAAAAGCACACTGCCTTTGTTTGTTTAGTGTCAAAATGGTTACTGAAATGGTCTCATGCTGGAAGCCAATTACTCCAACTTACAAGTTGTGGAAAATACCACTACACGCTATTAACCCTCATAACACTTGCCTTCAGGTGTCTTAAAAATTTTAGTTTTGCAAACTCTAATCCTAATTTTAGCTATGAGCTATCCATTTTAGCATGACTAAAACTCTGGCTATATTGATGTTTACTGTGGGGCCTGTTATGATGCCTAAATTGTCCCTTGGCCCTTGTTAGGCACAAAATACACATCTTTATGAAAAGAAGTGCTACTTTCCAGAAGTCACGTCCACCACTGGAGGAGCTATCTTGACACCAATGAAAACTAAGGAAGATATGGCTGAAAGCCAAGTTATCCTTATTCTGAACTTCCTATATGAATGCTATGGTTATTTTCTACCCACCTCCTCCCACACACACTTAGAAAGATAAATGTATCAAGGGAACTTGAATGCTCTTTTAAATAACATCTACCAGTGATGCCCAGCATAAAAGCATGTTAATAAAGCAGGTAGAGTTCAGCAGACTGCCTGTAAGTGGTAAGGTAGCAAATAATTTTTCAAATTTTAGTTTGTAGAAGGAAAAGAGCATAGACTTTTTGTAATTCCTGATATAAACTCGATTCATATTTTTTAATGCAGAGACAGTGGCTAACAGAGGTTATTTTCCAATAAGCCAAACTGAGGACTGACGATTCTGAATTTAAGATCTGGTTAAGCATGTACTTCTAAAAATCTATGTACCTCTCTTTTCATACTAAAGTTATTTTAATGACAGTCGCACTTTTCAAATTTACAAAGCATGATTAAAAGATTTACCAACCTGGCCTTTTTTGTTTTTAGAATAGGCTCTGTTGTTGAACTGTTGCCATTTCACCTTCTGGTCCTCTCTTTCCTGCTCAAGTTCTTTTATTCTCTGTGCTTTTTTCAAAGCCTTCTTCTTTTTATATTCACGCTGCTGGGCCATCATTTCTTTTCTGCGTGGAAAAAACAGAGCTAAATGTCAACTGTTAAGACTTAAAAGATGACTTCTTTGTAGACATTAGCAGTGCAAAGGAAAAAAAAAACAAAAAAACTCCCAATAAACATACATTCCTCTCCATGAATAAAAAGCACTAACTCATTAAAATCAATGCCAATCACCTAGCACTACTAAGAAATGGTTTTTTTGGAAATATGTAGCATCATTGGAAGCTTTTAAACATAACTATAATCTATTACACATATAAACCAAATATTTCAAAGTGAACTTTTATTTGACTTTTATATAGCTTTTGCCAGTTGTGTTTTAGGAATAAACTGAATTTCAATATTGATGGATGTCTAAACCTTTATCAATTTCCAAATAGATATAGTTAGCAAGTACAGCATTTGGAAAAAAATGTATGAAGAGATTCAATGTAGATAAAACTATTTCACCTAGAGCAATACAGCAGCAAAAAAGGAAATTACTGCTAACAGTTCTTATAAAAACAAAAAAACCAAGTGTTTCCAAAAAATTCTAAGTAAAACTCTCAATAATTTCTGCTCAGTTAACACTAACTTCTAACCAAATGAAGGGTGAAGAAAGACATCTTTAAGAAAAGCAAAATCCAGACTCCCAGTACCATATCACCACCATGAAGCTAAGCATGGCTTTTTACACAGAAGTCAAAGACTAAAAATACTGTTAATTTGGCCTGTTAAAAACCATTCAAAACCATACACTCCATTCCCACTTCCTGGGTTCAGGCTGCCATCATCTTATACTTGGATCATAGCAGTTAGCTGCCTTCTCTTTTGCTTTCATTCATTCTAAAGCTCAAATCTGATCACATCATATCCCTTCAACTTAAAATGTTATCAGTGGTTTATCAGCTCTTTATAGTCTGGACTCCACCTCTCTATCCTCTTCTCAAACCACCCACCTTCCAAGCCCCAAGTTTTTACCACAGGGATTTCTGTTACTTTTATGCCTCCCCTTTTTAAAAAGTAAACATTTATTAAACCTTTACTACATGTCAAGAACTCTGTTATGCGCTTTATTAATGTTATCACTTTAATCCTCACAGCCTAGTTAATGTACATAACTATTGCCTCTTATTCTACAGATGAGGAAACAGACGTGAAGCGCCTTGTCCAAGGTCATAGGCTTTTTAATAACAGAGATAGGATGCAAACCCAGATATATATACTCAATGTCACACGGCCTTCTAATTTTTTTTTAAACCCTGGCTAACTCCTATTCTTTTCAAATCTCAGTTTAGATGTCATTTTCTCAAAGAAACCTACCCTGATAATGAAAGTATAGTTTTGGTACCTCCTCTTTGTTCCCTTGAAGTACCTACTGTATCCCCTTCATAACTTTTATACTTATCATTAAAGCACTTGTTTAATTATGCCTTTTCTGCCCTAGATGTTTAATGAACTTAACTGGGACAAGGCCCAAGTTGGTCGTCTTCACTGTGGTGTAAGCCCTAGCATCTGCTTTATAAAAATATATTGGGAAAATGTTTTTAGTACAGAGTATCCTCTCAATATTTACTGAAAGCCCAAGAGTGAACCAAAATGTCTTCACTTTAGCTAGGCATACACATATAATGTTAACCCTATTATCAGTAATCTTCAAAACAATGGTAATCAGTACTGTAACTTTCTTACCTCAATGTAGCCTACTGAGATTCTCTCTGCAGACTATCTCAAGTACCTGAATGGGGACGATCACACCTAAAATACTAATAAAGTCTCAGTTACTTACTTTGACATGGGTTTGTTGCCACTATCCTCTTTTGCCTTCCTTCCTTCTTCTACAGGCTTGAGGTTCAACAGTGGAGTCACTTCAGCATTGCCATAACCAGCAAAGGTGATTGCAGCGGTGCCATTTTCTTCATCTATCTCCTCAATCTCCGCTTCATAACACCTGTAAAGATATCATGGCTGTAAGCAGGTGAGTAAAGGTTTAGTACTCAGCCTACAAGACTTATATTGTAATGATATAATCATTACATGTGTCTAAAATGAAACTTCTATAATCAAATGGCCTTTTTGGCAAAGATAATACAAAAGAGTGGTTGAAGTTAGCCATCTGCTAACGAAAAGGAAGTCCTAATCAAAATATTATTGGAAAGTCTCTTACAAATATATCTGCTCAATGTTCTTTAATCTCTTGGAAAAAGGTTATTTCTTATGAGAATGATTTCAGTGTATGCAAGTCACAGAAGTCTGAGATAACCAACCATTCACTCAATTTTCAATTTGAAAAGAATTTAGATTATTTTAGAAATAACCATTCATTTTCCTCTGCTTTCATTTTTCTTTTCTCTAGTATCCAAGCCATTGTTCTCCCCCCAAACTTAATCTAAAGTCAAAACTATATTGTATTAATGGCAACCATCCAAGAATCAAACTGGCTCTATAAATCATATTGCCTATGTAGAAAGATTAAAACAGAGTAGTTCAAACTGAATAAAAACCTCTTACCATTGTATTTTATTATTTCATGTTATAGTTAGAGTTTTTTTTTTTTCTACACTTACTGTCCATCTTCACTCCAGATTGCCATACACTTGTCTCCTACTTTCCATGAATGAGTGGGCTGAGTAGAAGCAAAACTGTCTGAACTTGCAAGAGTTTCAGAAGGTTGAGTTGACAGAAGGTCTTTGGTTAGTTCTATGACTTCCTAAAAATAAAAAAACAAAAACCATAACATTATTTTTATAATTCACATTGTGAACTACTTTGTTATTGATGACAACAGCTCTTACACTGTATAGCACTTAAGTACTCTACATATATTTATTTGCTGTTCATAATACTGTTAACAGAGTACTGTGATTATCCCCGTGTAGAAACTGAGATACAACCTTTTATACTAGTGAGTTGGAGAGCTGTGATTTAAGCCCATATAGTTGCCTTTCAACTTAACCACAAATACTAATGGAAACAGAGTAGACTTGAGCTTAAACACCATGTATTATTTCTAAGTAACTATTTTAGCTGACTAGATCTCTTTAAAGATAAGAAATAAAGTCAAGTATGAGGGACTAAACTAGATTTGGGGATCACTTTTATTCTTATCATTGTCATATATATTTTACGCAACCGTACTGTTTTATAGGAAATTACCTGGCAGTAGTATTAACTGCCTAGCCACCCCCTAATCTTCAAAACACTTGAAGTAGCCCTATTAGTAATAAAAATGTTCCTACTTATACATATTTCTACTAAAATACTATAGGCATATATAAAAGAAATCAGTAGTTATCCATTTCTTATAAAACTCACCCCATCTGGGTAAGCAAATTAACAGGTTAGATTTAAAATATTCCATACCTTAAGCACATTAGGCTTCATTTAAAAGGAAAAAAACAAAATAAAAACACAGATAGGCAATGCCTCTCTGTGTGGCAGACATTTTTTGCAATTCAGGCTTATATTTATTGGCTTCATTCAAAGATGGTTGATATAGAGATGGTTTAAAAATTTGAGAAATAGTACACATTGATAGATTCTGCTACCTATCTGCTGTATTTTTTACTCTAATGAAGATCCATGTTATATTTCATCTTATCTGATTTAAGATCTTGCATACCTATTCCCCCACTGTTGCATTTAAAACACCATACTGTGTATTTAGGGAGAAAAATTAGCAAAGTTAAACTGTGTACTGAGATTTTGTTCCCACTGAAGTTTTCTAATAGTAGTTCTGATTCAGTAGCCAGTAAATATTACCTCTCTCCTAAAGATTCTAAATCTTCCCAGCTATTTCTGAAAAAGTCTTTAAAAAAAAAAAGGAATATAAGCTCTTAGAGAAAGGTCAGTTCTACAAGACTCAGATTTGAGTTAAAAATTCAGTAGAAATAACATCTCTAAGTTTTATTAGTTGCCAAGTAGCCACTTAAATACTTTTTAGATAGTCCTTTGCAAATAAAACTAAGAACCTTCCAAATAAATACAGAGAAGAAGAGTAAATTATCCAGTCTTGTTTTCAGTTAATCACTTTTAGGGCCAGGAACATAATCAAGTAAGCTTGACTCAAGAACGCACACAATCCCTATCATTAAATACTTCCACATCTTCCTAGGGACCACTTAACTATTATATTAAAGCACAAACATGAATTCTGCATTTGTAGGTCTCAAATTCAGAACTCTATTTTTTTCAGGACAGAACATTTTCCCATTGTATTTTCGTAAGGAAATACATTTCCATCAAAGAAAAGGGTCCTGAAAAGCTGTGCATATTATAAAGAATTTTCAGAGCCGTGTTGAAATGACCCTTTAAAAAAGTCCAGAGCATTTACTCCTAGTGTCCTTTAACTTTGCTATAGTTTTACATCCACCTCCAAACTATGAAGAACCTTTTATTTTTTTTTTCTTCACATGTGCACATGGACCAAAGTATTAGAAAAACTATTTTATGTATGAGGGGGTTTCTTGAAGGTACATACCATTAATTACTTTTCCTCCCTCAAGTCTGAGTTCTGAAACTGCTCCTTCATCGACAGATGGGCAGCAGTTACAGTAATCGGCAATTCCAGGAAGCATCAGGTGTTGTGATCTACATATCAGCAGGTCAAAGGGGGTGCACTCAAGCACTCTGCTTACTGAAGGAAGGCGTTTCGGGGATGCAGAGAGCCACTGTAATATATGAGACAAGTGACTTGACCCCTGCCTCCTTTAGAACCAGTTTATTCAGCAAAACAGCCTAATAAATTTACTATTTCTGTGATCATCATAGACTACCCTGGGAGCTAGTTAGCTAGCTAGCCTGGATTTTACTATACCCACTTTTTAAGTGAAGAAAGGCAGGACTTCAGTAGATTAATTTGCTGCCTGCTGAGTAACTTTAGTCTATATTAAAAACAGTACATAAAAGAAATAAACATGGAAACCTTACTGGCAAAATGAAGTCATTGAAAAAATACAGAAAGAGCATTTTGTCATAAATCAAATGGCAAACAAATTAATAACCAGGATAAGGATATAATTCCAAAAGAGGAACACAAGGAATTAGAAACCATATGATAGTTCGAAAATATGAAAATGAGAAAGCCACAAACTCAATCAGGCTGAACAGACTTCTCACCAAACATGACAGACAGAATTAAAAACCAGTGGCATGAGATACTTCCCAGAAAGCAGAGAAGAAAAAAGGAGGGAGGGAAAAACTCACAGCAAAATAGAAGCTGTAACTGTAGCCTCAATGGAGACAATTACTAAGTGGAAGCCTGTAGCCAAATACTTGTCAGAATTTTACTTAATCTTAAAAGATGCCTTCCATCTTTGAGTAGTTTTCAGTTCAAAAGGGACCTAGCCTAGTAACCAAAATTAAACTTTTTTTCTCATGATAGAATAAGAGGGAAAGAAACTGTGATGAAAACTAGTTAGGAAAGGCATTGTTGTTATTACTACCAGAGGTATTAGAACTTAACTTTCTAAATCTTTGGCATCTAACATGGCTGTCACATGTAGTTATTTAATCCAATTAAATAAAAAACTCAGCTCCTCAGTAACCTGACCTGTATTTCAAGCGTTGAATAGCCACATGTGGCTAGTGGCTATGGTACTGAACAGCAGACACAGAACATTTCTAACATCACAGAAAGTTCTATCGGATAGTGCTGTTCTAAATGGTTTACACATAAATGATTCCCAGGTCATTATTAACTGAGCCCTAGGTAAGCCTTTTAGGTGCTTACTATAATGTCCACCACATGGTTTCTCCATGCGGTATAGATCATGTCACAGTAAAGCAGTTCTACCCAGACTCTAATGACAAATTTATTCTAGAAATATTAAAAAGACCTGATGATGATATTTCAAACTCCACTCTCAACTCCCCCTCTACCAGTTCCACATATACTGCCCAGGAAGCAATATACAGAATACTGGCACACAATGTTTTCTTTTCTTCAAAGAAAAAAAGGACTGCTTTTAGGTTGGTAAAAGTAGACTGGAGATCTCTCATTGGGGCAAACAGAAAGTTAGTACTTTAGAGTATAAGCACACAAGAGGTCAGTTTGCCTCTATCGCCTCATCTTCAATGTATACTCACAACATGTAAGCAAATCAAATGAATGGGCAGATAGCAAACCATTGGGTTATTTTTACTGAAGGGTCTGTGAGAGAAATTGCCCCCAAACACCTTTTTCTCATTGACTGAGGCACCCTAAAATCCACAGACCCAGCTTCTATACATTGAAGAGAGTGTCCTGTTCATATTGAAATTATCCCAGATAGTTTCCATTTTTAAAACTATACTATTATCCTAAATTTAGAATTTGAAAATATTCAAACTCATCTTAATTATGCCCACATAAGCAGTTTCAGAATCCCAAATCTGGATCCCATTTCAGGTAAGTTCCATTTGTCTGCAGTTCTAATATCCTAAAATATTAATAGTTTTAATGGACAACAGGATGATAAAGGGAGGGAAAGGATTATTTAGATAGAACACAGATTTGAACTTACACTGAATCAGTAAAGAGATCATCAAAATACCCTTAAAACTTTAAAAAAAAATCAGGTTCAGAAGTCAAAGGACGTTCTTAAGATGAAAAGTCCCATGTATTAATATTTACAAATTATATATGCTATTTTTCTTAATAAACCTAGTGTCCTAAGAAACAACAGATATTTACTATCTCTGTGTCTTGAAATCCCAGTGCAGGTTTAAAAAAAAAAAAAGTTTCATACCTATTTAACTCTTCCATGACAGACAAATTAAGATCTCCTTTTCACCACATCAATTCAACAATTGTCAACGATTACACTGTAAAACCTAACCTTAACTTCAAACATCTATGCAGAGAACATGTACCTCTTGAAGTACTTTTATGATGTGGTTTTTTTTTTTGTTTGTTTTTTAACTTGGCCCTCTCATTTGCTGAAATATATGTTTTCAATATAAGGTGTAAGGCACAACTTTGGGGGAAAAAAGCCACATTTTCATTTTCAAAGAATCTTGTGGCATTAAAAAGCATCTTAATATGGTTATATTTTTCTTTTTTAATCTTAGTTGTAATATCTTTTGAACTAAATTTCCCTTGCCAGATCTTACAAAATAAAAGCACTTTTCATTGTAGAGTTGTATGTACCTCTTCTCCTTGAGAATTTGAGACTTCCAAAACCGACTCTTATCTTTAAAATTATAGAAGCACCCAAAATTTATATAAAGAATAATGTGTCACTCATTTTGATATATACAGAGGAAGCAACCCTCCTTCTACAAGCCACAGTGCCTATGTGCATATACATATAACACTAAAACACACACAGATGCGTGCACACACACACAGGAGGGGTACCCTCTCCAAATGGTGCTTTGGGTGCCTATGGATTCTAAGCAATAAATCATTTGAAAAACACAGAAAAACTACAATTGTCCACCTACACTTACTTGTAAATCTTTCTTCAATTTTAGCAAATCTTCATTTTCTCCATTTCCAGATAATGCAGCTTCAACTTGCTGGAGTTGAGCTTTGTAGCTTGCCAGCTGCTTTGCTAAATCTTCTGACATCTGGGGAAAATAAAAAGGGTAAGACCATGAAAAGACCAAAAATCAAACCATAAAAACTAATTTCCCTATCTGCCTGAATTAACCAGTTTTTGCTTCCAACCCCTTACTAACATTACAGTTTAATTACCCAGTACCCTTACTCTTAGTTCAGACTTGAGCTAAACCACAAACTTCAAGACGATAGAATGATTCTGAGGATTATAAACATGTGAGATAAATTCCATATAAAGAGAAAAGCAGAAAAAGAGATAAGAGGCAAAGGGAAACTTCTAATTTTCTTTAAACTCCTATTATAGGGAAGGCACTGTTTGGCTCAATAATCAAGGCTGTTATATCTTCTTTTCAAAAAGCACTGGTCTGTTGTAAGAGTTGAATCTTTTTGGGAAAAAAAAAATCTTATTTTTAAGCACTTGTTTCCAAAGCCAAACAAGAATTATTTTTAATTAACTACATAAATAACCCTCTCTACTTGAACTATTCAATTAAGAATGCATTTAGTTCTTCTCGAGAACAAAAATTTTTCACCCAGTCGCCTAAATAATTGTCGATGCATTTTTCTTCAGTAAAAGAGAACAGCGCAAATACACTCCGATTTAAGTAAGGAACATGCCTTTTGCCAAAACCAGCTCATTTTCTGAAAATAAGTTACGAACTCTTTTTTGATGACTTATAAGCAAACATACAAGATTTCCGAGGATCCTTATCTTTCTTAAAATTTCCGTTCAACAAAAGCCTGGAATCTGGAAAGGTCTCAAAGGGTTAAAGCAAGCCAACCTGCCTCCTTCCAGTTCCCCAACACCTCAAAGCCCGCCACTACTTGCACAATTATTTCAGACCTCTAAATTCAAACATCAGTTTCCAGGGAAACTGCCGGAGCTCCCACAACCCTCAAGCAAGCTCTTCCCCGAACCGCCGCGGGCATCCCAACCCCACCCGACGGATTCCCCTGGTTGGCCTCGTTCACCACCATGGCACTGGGTGCCCCTCAAGGCTAACTCTGGGTAGGCGAGGAGACAGTGGCTCCTAACTCTATTGCCGACGCCCAGACTTCTCCGACGAGGCTGGCCAGTCGGCCACGGGCCTCTGCTTTAATTCGGGAGAGACCGAGGCCCAACTAGGCCTTACTCTCTCCCGCACGGGGTCTGTTACCTTGTGTGGGGTTGGGGGCAGGGCGGCGGGAAAGGGTCAGGGCAAATTAGCCCAGGGGTGGTGGTGGTAGCAGCAACAGCAGCAGTAAAAAAAATCCTTCGCGACAAGGCGACTCTGTCTGAAAATAAAAAACTCGGTCGGCGGTGAGGGGGAGGGGAAGAAAGCCGGGCGCTGGAAGGAGGAAAAGACAGAGGTGGGTGAAGTCTCGCGAGAGATACAAATACTCGCGAGATGTCACTAGATTCACGTGATTCGTCGCGCCCTCTAAGCCGTCCACCTAACTCACGTTAGGGACGCGGAGAGGGCGGGTGTAGTCGCGGGGAAGTGGCGTAGTCGGGCTGCGGCGTGCGCGGAACATAGGTTCGTCTTACCTCGGTTCCGGCTTGCATCGGGGAGCTGTTTCTTTTGGGCCGGGTACTTTTGGGTCCTTCCTGAGGTTTCCAGACGAGTAGTCGCTTGTGCCACCTTAGGCGAGCGCTGCTGGGAGGTGGGAAGAATGGGGTTTAATGCAGCCTTTATACTGGTGGTTCGTTCTCAAAGTGTGGTCCCTGAATCCTCAGCATCACCTACCTGGGAATTTATTGGAAATGCAGTTCTCAAGCCCTGTCCCAGACCTTCTAAATCCAGAAACTCCGCGGGTGGGCTTGGTAATCTGTTTCCACAAGCTTTCCAGATGATAACGTTGTCCGCTCAAGTTTGAGAACTGCTGCTTTATATATTAATTAAAAACTTTAGTAGCGGCCGGGCGTGGTGGCTCACGCCTGTAATCCTAGCGCTCTGGGAGGCCGAGGCAGGTGGGATCGCTCAAGGTCAGGAGTTCGAGACCAAACCTGAGCAAGAGCGAGACCCCATCTCTACTAAGAAATTATCTGGACAACTAAAAATATATATATATAGAAAAAATTAGCCGGGCATGGTGGAGCATGCCTGTAGTCCCAGCTACTCGGGAGGCTGAGGCAGAAGGATCGCTTGAGCCCAGGAGTTTGAGGTTGCTGTGAGCTAGGCTGAAGCCATGGCACTCTAGCCCAGGGAACGGAGTGAGACTCTGTCTCAAAAAAAAACAAAAAACAAACTTTAGTAGCAACAGGAAGCTAATTAACTTGTAGCAGAAAGGAGAGGAGGTTGATTTATTTAAAACTATTTTGTTAAAACTTACTTGATTTTAATTAAGTTAATTAGTCTACTCTCACCTGATAGGGAACAATCTCCAAGTTAGTCTTAAATGATTAGCAGAGTAGTATGAATACTTCTATTTATGTTGAAGTATTACACACATAAAATGTGTGTAATAATATATGCGAGTTCTGGACAGATACACAAACCTGTCTAGAGGTTTGAAGTGGAAGCCAAATGTTTTCATTGATTACCCTTTTTACGATTTACCCTTCCCTTTTTTTTACTATAATTTTATTACAATTTTTAAAAAATTTTGCATGTCATATGTTGTTACGAAAAATAAAATCCTAAGATACCAAGAGGCTATATAAAATGCCAGGAAGGAACCTTCCCAGGGTGATTGAGGGTTTGTTGCCGGACCCGTAAGAAGGCCCTCTTCTCAGATGGGTTCTTTTGAGCTGTGCCAACATCTTGCTTTATTTCTTTCTTTTCTTTTGAAGGAGCCTTCCCTTTTATTCTGTACATACACACACACACATCGCCCTCATGGTGAGTCAGATAACCCATAGAGGTGGAAACTAGGTCAGGTTTGTGAGTGCGATTGGGATGGCAGTCAACTTGCAAAGATTGAAAATGCTGCAGGGGCAGCAGTATGTAGCCGGAGTTGAGGGAAGACAAACCGGAAAGAATGTACTTTTCCTTAAATAGAGACTTGTTTAAAATAAAATGTAGTTTTTGATAACTGCTTTTATTCTGATTGTGTATTTTAAGAACTGATACCAGGAGGATCTTCCTTGAATATAAAGTAAACTTCACGGTTGTGTAAAAATCTCAAATGAGAACTATTCCTAAACCCCATAGATCAGAAAATAGGGAAATATTTATTATAAGTTCTAGTATTGATTTCTATACCAACTTGATAGTTCTCTTTTCAGGTTTTTAATCTCTCTCTGTGCAACATTGATTTATAAAGAAAAGCTATATTGAATTTTAATTCTCACAAAGAGATAACAGTTGTATGTGCCAGATACCATTCTGAGCACTTTACACATATTCATCTAATTTTCACAATGATTTTATGTGGCATTAAAGACAAAACTGAAACACTTATAAGCTTTGATTAAGAGTGATACTTCATGGCTGGGCACGGTGGCTCACGCCTGTAATCCTAGCACTCTGGGAAGCCGAGGCGGGTGGATCGTTTGAGCTCAGGAGTTCAAGACCAGCCTGAGCAAGAGCGAGGCTGTATTTGTAAAAAATACAAAGAAATTCACTGGACAACTAAAAATATATACAGAAAAAATTAGCCAGGCATGGTGGCACATGCCTGTAGTCCCAGCTACTCGGGAGGCTGAGGCAGGAGGATGGCTTGAGCCCAGGAGTTTGAGGTTGCTGTGAGCTAGGCTGACGCCACAGCACTCTAGCCTGGGCAACAGAGCGAGACTCTGTCTCAAAAAAAAAAAAAAAGATACTTCATATAGGCTTTCTGACTTACCACCTCGTTTGAAGTGTCAAAAATCCACTTTCAGTGTCTCATTTTTCTTGAAACATTTGCATCCAAACTTAATCATGTTTATTCTCCAAAAAAAGCAGTGTCTAAAACGTGTAGTTCTTTAAACTGGTATTATTTATTTAAACCCAATAAGTGAATAAAATTTAAAGACTCCAAATTGTCACCAGAATATACAGCTATTTCCTTTCAGTACGAAAGAAAACTAAAGTATAGCTCCTGCCTTTGGAAATGTGTTAACCTGCTGCAGAGCACAAGAGTATGCAATAAAACTAATACACGTTGGTCAAATGGGAGACTGAATTATTTAGATTAGCTTTTCTTGTATCCTTTCCTGATTATAAATAGCCCCAGATTTGCCCACATTTTTTTTCTATCTCAACAAATGCCTAAGGTGATGAATTAGAGATGTGTGTGTAGTCATAATAATTGTTGACTTTCTTTAGTCACACTAGGTGCGTGGAGATTTGCTACAAAGCAAGCTACTTGCTTTCTTTGTTCTTATTGAGAGATTTATCTCAATGCACTAGATACAGTGCATTGAATACATATGTCCTAGGATGATGCTTAGTTGATGGAAAAACAGCCTTAAATGCACGTTGGTCAGTGCAGAGGCTCAGATGTTCATCATTCATAGCTATCCTGAATTGTTTACTTAAATTCGTATTACCTTGCTAAGTCTTAGGATGTGCATTTTTAGCTATTTTGTGTTTTACATGTCCCACTAAAGAACAGAAACTATATCACTAAACAATAGAAAACATGCCACTAAAAGCAGAAAAACAAGAATTCCTTCAGTTTGAAAAAGATTATAATCTAAGGCTTAACAAGCAAGAATCAGAAATGATAGCGCTTTAGAGGTATTCAGAAGTGCTTAATAGTACTCTAACCATACATTCTTAGTGGTATATATTCTGGGAGAAAAAAGAACCCAAACAAGCAAACAAAAACCCTCAAATGTCGCAAATTTATTGCTAGTACCGCTATTGGTAATGTAATTTTTGGACTCTCTGGTATACTATAGATTAAAAAAAA